CCTTTTCAGTATAAGAAAAAAAATCATTGGGACCCCAGATGGAAGAGTTCTCTTAAAGAATTAAAGTGATGAGGTTCATTATTTTTTGCTGTACACTTGTCTGGAAAAGTCACTTACTTACTTACTTAGATAAAAATAGTGAAATTTTGATTCGCTCCATAAACACGTATATATCAATTTAGCATAAGTACAATAAGCTTTAGTTTTTCTCAGCTGTGAAATAGTCATTGTTAATATTCAGATATTTTAAAGGTGGTTTTAAATGGGCAATTTTTATGGCCGCTAGTGTTTTTTTCATCACGATCCCCACTGTTAAGTACTATTGTACTTAATAATACTGTTAAATTGTTCAGAAAACATATTTACCTTTTCTAAAATTGTGTTCGAGAAAATATTTAACACATATAATGTGATGTGTAAATATATGGCTAACAAATACAGTGGAGTGTATAATTGTTTTCTAGCTTGGAATTTAGTGTAAAAGACATGTTGAAAATATAATATAAATCATTTAGAGAATCAGCACTTGGATTATATCGTGTAGTTCCACATTACAATATACTTTCTTTTGAGCTGAAACTTTTTCTAAATTTTGTAAATTTATGATATAAACTTTTTCTCATTTACAATATTTTTAAGTCTGTTTTTGTTTTACTAAAGTACTGTTTGGTATATTGTTATTTTTTATCCGAATGTTTTCACTGTATATTAAAATGATACATATGATAATATCAAATAAAAGTTTACATTAGATATCACAGTAACCTTGTGTTTAAAATACAGGAAAGTGTGGTTTAAGGTGTTTTTTTTTACCCCTATAGTTTGTACTGGCAATGTCTGTAGTGCCAGATTTTCTATTATTGTTGAATTCTATCAATTAAGTGTTAATGTCACGTTTTATTTATTAAAAATATAAATATGATAGATAATTTTTTTATTTGTAACGAGTGACCCACTAGTGTAAATTTTGTTTGATCTCTTTCCTTTTCTTTTTTGTACTTGAAAATTTTTTATTAAAATAATAAAATATGGCAGTTCTGATCACAGTGAATACCAATTTAATTCTGGTGCTTTACATTTTACTGAAACTGAACCGGAGTGCCTGGTCAGTAATCAACAGTCAAAACAGAACTAGGCCATGTGGTTAGGGCTCTCGACTCGCAATCTGAGGGTCGCTGGTTCGAATCCCCGTCACACCAAACATGCTCGCCCTTTCAGCCGTGGGGGCGTTATAATTTGACGGTCAATCCCACTATTCGTTTGTAAAAGAGTTGGCGTTGGGTGGTGATGACTAGCTGCCTTCCCTCTAGTCTTACACTGCTAAATTAGGGATGGCTAGCGCAGATAGCCCTCGTGTAGCTTTGCGCGAAATTCTGAAACAAACAAAACTGTACATAACTTCTTACCATAACATCGCCAAAACCTTAACAATAAAACGTTAGATAATTCTTACATATTAGACGAAAAAAATGTTATGATATGATAAAATTCATAAATCTAATCTAAGATCAGCGTGTATACACAGTGTGTATAAACATTTCAATACAGGAGTGCTTGCCGTATTATGTTGGACGGAATTGTATAGTCATAAAAAAAATACATTCATTTTAGTAGTATGACACAAAACATATTCATAAAAACTTAATTTTTTTCTCAAAACATTCTTAATCTTTACATTCTAAAGTAATCAAGGCTTTATTTTAGCTTAATATCCAATTTTATTATTCGGTGAAACACGCAACTCAATACAAGTGGTTAACTGACATTGTTTCCTTGATGGTTTTTGTGTGTAACTTCTAACGTAGTTTTTCTAATATAACGTATTTATTGTTCATAAATTGTAATGTTAAACTTTTACCATAAGTAAAATAGGCCTTAATTATTATCTTTTTTTTTTTATAAATATTATTTGTTATATCAGTTATTTCACGCACGATAGTGTCGCTTCTTAAGCCCTTGCCGAATAGAAGTTTAAAGAATACATTTTTGTCAAAAACAATCGTCATTTTCTCTGGTTTTTCTTTAGTTATTACTTTTATTAGTATGTATTATTATATTATAAAACAGGAGTTAGCAAATCTTGGAGTTTCTGAGGGGAAATCTATAAAAGAGTCGTTGAACATAGGAAAGGGGTGATATAGATGGAAAGAATTAACTATTAGTATTGTTGCGTCATCGAGATCATGTGATTCTCACGCTCTCTACGTTCTAGAATTATCCTGTACTTTGGCGAATGTTCTTGTTCTGACTAGATAGAGGGTAGACTGGTATATATAAGAGGGGAAGGTAATGTGTGTATAGATATTGAGTAATTGAACTGCAGTCACAGGGTATTGTTGAAGTTAACGTTCGTTCGCTATAGTGTTTGTTTTAGCGCGAATATTGAAATAAGTATCGGTAAAGTTGTATTCGGAAAGAATAAACCAGTTTTATTAAGTAAAGAACTTGTGTCGCTGAAGTTTCGTCGGAACGAAGTTACGGAAAATCAATTAACAAACGGAGACGTAACAGTATATTGATAATAACAGCATCGGGTATTTTTCGTTTGTAGAATTATTAGAAATTTTATTGTAATCTCAATCACTTTAAAAATGACGGCAACGAACTCGTAATTAATTATACGAATGGCGCGTTTTATCTACTTACTAGTTAATAGGTATCGGTTAAATTAAATGTGAAAATGCGTTGGTAATAACTTCGTTTAACTTAATTAGATTGTTTTATGCAACTTTATCATATATTGATGCAAATACGTACGTATTATTAACACTTTCTTTGCACCAGTTAAAGAAGAAGAAAGCGTAAGCAATTCGTAACGAGGCTATTTATTACTATGTGATGTATTAACGACATAATATGCCGTAAGTTTGTGTCTTTTAAAACAAGTGACTGATTGATTATTGAGTTAGCCAGTTCAATGCTCTAAATTTTGAGTTTGTTTTGAACGAAGGCCTGGGTCGAGTGTGGTCCAGTGTGACGGTGAGTTACCGTGCTCGTGTCATTTTAACGCTGAAAACAAAAAATCTTGTTCCGCACTTTGGGAGAGATATGGTGCTATGCTCAATTTTACTGTGTCCGAGCCCTACCAAAATTTGTCACACGTATGTCGTCACCATCAGAGTAAAATTCTGATGTTCTAAGCCTCATTTCTGCTGTTTTTTAGTACATTATAAATAAAGGAAACATATGCAACACTAATTGAGACATTTATATTAGTAAATTAGTCATCATCAGGTACAAAACCTTGTCGAAACGTTGTACATTTGCTGTTAAATTTATATTAAAGTTTTTCTTCATTACCCATTCAAGCCGTCTCCAGCCATTATTAGTCTCAAAGTGGGTTCCTCGTCATCGAATTCGAAATTGAATATGCATATGTTACTGAGTGAAAACACGTAACTCTACTTTATTTAACTAAGTAGTAAAGGTAAAAAGAAAAACTTAGTACCTTCTTTACAATACGTTTAGTCTACTTGAACTTGAAAACAGTATTAACAACTTCTGAGTTTTGACTTTCATGCTTTGCACACGTCTTGTCCCACCAAAACGAGTAACTAAAGAAAACATTCCTTTATATTATGTAAATATTACGCCTTTTAAAAGTATGTACGTTTTAAATACATGGTATAATTTTAAAATATATTTATTAAGCGTTTTAAAACCATATTAATGTGTCTTAATAACCACATAACTCTTGAAAGAAAGCATTTCGCCGCCTTCACACCTGCTTTATAGCAGTTGCACGATGCCTAACGCCATCTCGATTGTTAAAATTGTACGCGCGTCGAAACACGCGTACGTATGAAATTTTTCGAAAATTATTAGCGAGCAAGAAATGTTCCCCTTTTAATATAAAATAAAAAGAAACAAGTATACTTAGTATATCTAACACTCACTGAGATTTACACATATGTGAAGACCAGGTGTACACTAGATATGTGTACGTTGAACATATAAAGATGGACTTAAAAAAAGCGATAAAACTACCAAATTACCCAACATTCCTTATGAATCTGCAATAAAATAAAAAAATCTAAGTTGTGAACATTTTTTAATCCTTTGTCATTTATAGTCTAGGCTTTGTTTATATGTAGTAGAGCCTCGTCCTAGAGACCCTAAAGTCGCCCAATATACCTAAAGTTTTCATGCAAATACGATCTGTTGAAGATTCGTTGCTTTTCTTACGCTTCCTGAACTATCCTCAAAGCTCCCCAGTTGCTCAGCGGTGAGCCTGAAAGCTTATAACTCTAAAAACCATGTTTGTGACAGTAGGTGTCACTTTTTTAAGTCACATGCTAAAAGTTAAAAAATATTACTGCTAACTTAAGACGAAGAGTAATAACATTAAAAGTTTAGAACTAAAGATGAATAAGATGGCATCTACAAAAGAAATTAAAGAGGTAAGGTTTATTCTTACATTCATCAGAGTTTCTTCTAGTTTTAGGTAACTGCAATCGACAAAGTATTTAAAGATATTAAAATTAAACCTATCTCACCTCCAAAGTTTAAGCCCCACAATTTGAACTAGAGACGAGTAGAACTTTGAAGTATTTAAAACATTTCAACGTGAAAGTTATAACTTGGCCAGCCTGATTTAATTGTTACTTTGTCGATATTTTCAAGTGTTCACGAACTCGAAGCTTATCTAAACTGTGTGTGTGTAGTAAACATGATACATGCACATCTAACGAAAACTTCAAAAGTTTTATAATGAAATATTTCATTGATAGAGGATAATATAGAATTGCAGTCATATTGTTTTTGTTACGTAATATTTTTCAATATATGGGCATTATCCAAAAAGTGTTATTAAGTATTATTTTATCAATTTATTATATCATAGTGAGATTTTTTTAATTTACAGTCTACGAAATTTAATGTGCATAACGTAAAAAGATAAAATAAAATAAACCCTTCACTTTCAACAGTGAACCTGAAGAAGACTGGGCCACTTGTGAAAATGCCAGGAATTTATCAAATTTTTTTTTCAGTGTGAATTACCAAACATATACATCCCATTGCATTATTTATCATCATGACTATATTGAATGTGCAGTATTTTAAAAAATGTGACTTATAGTATATTTGTTGTTAACATATAATATTTTATAGTGTACATTTAATTCATATAGGGTAAATGTTTCATAGGAAGCCTTGGATATTTTTTACATTTATTTTTAAAATTTTACCATGTTTTTTTCTAGTATGTACAGAGGAGTGTATTGCAGAATTATTTTATGTGCAAACCATAATTTATTTTGGAAAATTTGGTTGATATAACTGATCACTTAACTATACTTTCTACATTATAATTACAAAATTATACATGCCATATAAACAAGGGTATTTTTCCAAAGCTCTTCAGAATTCAAAAAGAACACAAAATCATTTTATACTTTCATGTTTGCAACATTTAATAAACTTCATAGGTAAATTACTTTTATTATGTAACTTTGTCTTGGTAAATCTATATTAGTGGTAGATAAAACCTTGTACATGCAAAAAATATGTTGTGATACCTATATTGGCTATACAAGCTACATTTTAAGCTATAGCTGGTAGTTTAAAACACAAAACATTAGATAAGATTGAAAAACAAATTTTGTGAAAAAAAAGAAGATTTAATGGTCAGAATAGTAGGACAAGTATATATATATAAACATAGTATATAAACATAGCTATTCACATATAATTTAAGAACAACAAGGAACCTCCTGGTCTAGCTAAACTTTAAAGTAAATATAAAATGTGCAAAGCCAGCCCTTATCATTTAACTATTTATCAGGCTTTCCCTTAAATTAACTGCATCCTCCATAACTAAAGGCAACCCATTCCAAAGGACAATCACCCTATTAGAAAAATAAAGTTGTCTTAGCTGAAGATTACTCCTACCCAGCCAAAAGTTATACTTGTGCCCTATAGTCTCACCATTCTCCCCATTAAGAATGAAAAAAGATATGTCAAAAGTATCAATTCCATTAATAAACTTAAGCTCCTCAGTCAGATCCTTTATAACTCTTCTCTTTTAAAAAAAATTTCAAATAATTTAACTTGTCCTTGTATGACAACCTTTTCATCCCAAGTATTATCCTAGTGGCCCTGTTGTGAACCCTTTTCAACAATTCAATTTCTTTTCTAAAGTAAGACACCCAAGATTGAATACAATAATCCAAATGTGGTCTAACTAATGAACTATACAATGAAATTGTAACCTCTTTAGACTAATATATGACTCTTTTAGACTTGTATTCAGTATTTCTATAGATAAAATCCTATTTGCCCTGCTGCTAGCTTGGGTGGCTTAAGAGACCGATCAAGTAGAACACCAAGATATTTTCCTTCTATAACCTGATAAGGTTATTTGAAATTGTGGTCACAATTCAAATTATAATATCCCACATGTATTACCTTGCATTTGTTATATTAAAACCATGTGCCATTTCTTCATCCAACTCACCAAGTAATCCAAATTCTTGTGTAAAGGTTTTTGACCTATTGGAATAGGTTGCCTTAATTCAGGAGTAGTGGATACAGTCAATTTATGGGAAGGCCCAGATAAATGTTTAAGGTTGGATTTCAGGGTTTTTTTTTGTTGTATTTTAAGTGAATGGAACAGCCTTAAAGGACCAACAAGCGTCTTGTTGTCCCTTAAATCAGATGAAATTATGTTATTGAAAATAATTATGGAAAGCATGAGGAAGACAAATACTCTACTCCTTTATCATGTGAAGATGAACTGCACCAGAGTACAGTCACATGTTGGCAGCTTACACTAGCTTGTTGTCATCAGAAAGTCTCACACCTGTATGAAGTCTTATAAAAGTACAGACAGTTATACTATGCCCATTAATAGTAATGTGACTCATAGATCTGAAATACCACATGAGAAGCATATAACAGCATAGTTTGGGCTAGTCAGGGATACTCGACATGAAAAATTGTCGCAAGACCCCAGATTCCATAGAAGCTACATGCAATACTCTTAAGAAGGTAGATTAAACAGGCATTATTAGTAATATATGTGGTTGAGATAGAAAAACAAAACTATCATAAAGTGATGTTTAGTATCTCAGGTTGTTATTTACAAAATATGTGATGATTGAGTTCAGATGTTACCAATGATATTGCTGTAAGTGCAAGTTTGAATGTTACCTTGAAAACAGTAAGATACACATTAGGATAAAGTAACCTCAATGGATGTCTAGCTGTTTGAAAACTGCTGTTGAGAAGAAACAACCAAATACAGGACATTTGGAACAGTATTCAATAATCATACAGTGATAAACTGTATGACAGCATGAATGAAAACAATGTGTAATACTCGGTGTAAAAGGATCACATATTAAATACTGGTGTCCTGTACACTTTATTTACTTTTGTATTTTCTGTTGTAACGTTTAGTACTGTTGACAATTTTGCCATCTAGTTGCCATTACTTGTTGTATTTGACTCCTATTTGTATGATGGTATCTTGTTTCCATAATTATTTCCATTACTATATACCTGCTTTCAAGTTGTCAAATGCAACTATCCATTTTGAATGATGACATACATGTAGTGCGGGAATTGAAATATTGTGAACTAAAATTTTAGAGTTTAATAAAAATAAAAATGTGTTTAATGTTTTGTGTGACTGTTAATATTATTGTGTTTTTTTATTTCAGTTTAAAGAAAATGGTTACTTTATTTTGCATAATTTTCTAACTGAAGATGAGGTTGAATCCATGAAAGAGGAATGTAAGAATCTTGTGGAAAAAATGAACCCAGTTGAACACTACAGCTCATTCCATATAGAAGATCATGAACATTCAGTATGTTTTGTTATTTATTTGGAAAGTTGCAATTTTTGGATTTGAAATTTTCAAATTTATTTAAAAAGATCTGTATATAAATGTAATAGTACTGTCTGTTGTATGTCCATGTAACTACTTCACAGGGTGTGAATGAATCTTCACCAAAATTGGTATGGAGGTTCATTAGGTGCATGTAGGAGTACATAAAACTTTTCAGTTCTGCATTTTTGTATTTTCACATTTTTTACCACTACTTCACTCCCTGTGGATGGATCTTCACCATATTTGGCTTGAATGTTTGTTGGGATCATGCAGAGGTACAGGTTAACTTGCATTTTTACATTTTGCGTTTTGCAGTTTTTACATGCATTCTTGCGTTTATTACAGTTACATATAAGGGAAGCAACTTTTCATGTTCAAAGATAACCTTTCATTAAGCATGAATTTACATAACGTCCATTCAGGGGACAGGTACTCCAGCTAGTAATGAATATTTTTTTATCATTGTTTGGCATAAATTTTTATCCTTCTCCATGGTAAGTTTGAAGGCTTATAACACTAAAATTCAGGGATTGATCCCTGTGATTGATGCAGCTCAGATAGTTCATTGTACAGCTTTGCACTCGGCAGTAAACAAAAACTTTAAGTATACATTTTCTGTTCTACTTCTTGATAAAAGCGTTAAAGGCTATTTAGTTTTCATGCTATGAAGACCTAGTATTCCGGTTTTCTTCACCTCGTAGCTTGATTGTTAGATCTAGCTTAGATATATAGATAGTTTCTGATTTTTTAGTGATGGGGGAAAGTTAAAAAAAAAATAATAGTACTTAAGAAATTTTACAGCAGTCTGTCCGCTACTTATAGACACATAAATCTCAAATGCCCCAAAATCTCTATTTTTGACCTACCTGTGCTGATTAGAGTTAACTGAGTGTCAATCATAATTTTTTGGGGAAATGACACAATAATATCTCCTTTATCACTTTTAAGGGTTAAATGATACATTTTGTTTAAGGGTTAGTTATAAAGACCCAGAAAAATACCTTTTAAGTTGTTCTTTTGCAGTTTCATGCATTATTTTGGTGTACCATTGTAGATGCTGGAGAATGTGAAACAGACATTTTTAGTTGTTCATTCACTGTAGTAGACTCATGCTTGTCATTTTAAAGGGGATTATTGTATAGAAATAAGTTTTAATTAGTTTAAAGGCAAACTAAACAGAAAAAAAAAAATTTAAGATAGTTATTCATAAAAGAGATATCTCGTATATTTAAACTGTAAACAGTAGAAAACATGCAAATGTATTCTTATTGCTGTTTTTTCTGTTTACATTTTTCACGTAAGACTTCGGTGAAAATATAAGTTTAGTAATAGATAGTTCTTAAAGTTACAGAACTACAAAAATTAAACAGTTTCTCTCAAACACACTAAGAAAATTTATTTTTCAGTACATACATTTCAAGTAGAGGAGCTAGTGTAGGCCTATAAGCTCAAAACATGAAAGTACCTGAGTTTCTTTTAGAATATCTGTTTATTTTTACACTTCTATAATTTTAATTTCTATCAGTTACTAAATTTATATCTTTAGCCTAGTTTTATTTACTTTAAATTTAATCATTATTTGTTAATTGTTGTTTTAGTTTATTTTTGCCTTTAAATAAAGCCACTTTAAGTCACACTAGAATGCTCTTCATTCTAACAGCAAACTTGATATTTTTTTAAAATCACAATTTAAAATACCCAGAAGGTATAATAGTTATAAATTCAATAATGGTATTTGAAGCAGTCCATAGGGTGAACCATGTGGCATAAGGAATCCATTGCTTTCTGGAAATGACATTTGGGATGCAACTGTTTTGTGTTATTGCTGTCACTTGTAGTTACTACATTTATCTTGACAGTGTTAATGGATATCACAGTATGCAGTACCTTCCAAGGAATTGTCCAAACTGGTTATGTAACAGTTACTTTGTTATGTTGACATATCTATATTTTAAAGAAACCACGTAACTATTAGTTACCAGAGATGATGTCAGGAGAGTGTGGTGATGAGATATGATGGAAGTGATGATTGAAAAATAGTCCGTACTACCTGCCTGGCCACCACACTCCTCTGACCTAACCTGTGCCAACTAATAGTTTTGGGGCTTTCTGAAGATATTGGTATATCACCATAATTCAGAAACCATTCCTAAACTCAAGAAAGCCATTGTGAGAGAAGTTTGGGTAATTCCTGAGGAGATGTTACATGCTTTAATATCCAATAGTGTTAGGATAGGTGCAGTCTTAAGAAATGGTAGTGCTATTTCTAGAATCCAGTACCATACATTCTCAGTGAACGATAATTGTGATATATGCAAAATATATTTTGCTCGTGTGTTACACGTCCTGTGTTACAAACTGTTCTGACTATCTATACTGATTTTACAAACCAAGCTGTAAAACATATAAAAAAAATTTCAAATTATCATTTAAATTCAATATGGATAAAAGATTTAAAAATGTACAAGTTAGTACCAAAAAATTAAAGATGAATTAATCATTTCAGGAAAGGGATGAATATTTCCTTACTTCAAGCGACAAAGTAAGATTTTTTTTTGAAGATGGTGCTTTTAACAATAGAGGTAAGTTGTTTTTTAACTAATAAGAATCTATAAAAATACATAACTGAAATTGTTTTTGATACATTGGAATGTATTTTGAGATAACGTACCACGCGATGTTAAGTTCGATCTAGGAACTGACTAAGGTATTTTCACCGTAACAAGTCATGTAGAAATTTGGGTGGAAATCAAAGCTTGATGATTGGTTCATACTAACCAATTGATCACTGATTATAATTGTTTAGGAATATTTTTGGATTTTGAATGAAATAACATTGAAGCTGAATTGAATAATGAATGAACCAATTTCTTGAACACAGATATTTAGTTACTCAGGCAATCATAAAAAACAGAAGGTAAACAGGGTTAGTGACATTTTAGACCCTAACACTTTTTTTTTCTCTACAGTAAACCCAAGCATATGAGCTATTGGGGAAATATTTATTGATCTGTCACTATTTTTCTAGAACTGCTCAACAGAGAAAATTGGTAGGGAACTAAAATAGAATTTAGATCCTTACCTTCTTTTAGGGTTAAACCATTCAGATTAATCTGGAAGTAATTCTATTAGATCTAAAATAATTCGGGTTGTGTAGAGCATGCTGGCCAATGATATTTTCACCAATCATTATCAACAAAGTAAAAAAATAACAGTAATCAAGAAGAAAATGTTTCATTCCAAATACCTTTTATTAATCCTAATGTTAATAATATCATTAAGAATGCTGTGAGAGAATCTGATAGAAAAGCCTTGGATGAAACATGCTTGTGAGGTTAAATGGAGTACAGGTGCAGAAAGTTTTTTTCATCAGCACGGATTACCTAAATCCAATCACATTTTTAGCATTAGAATAAAAGAAAATACTACAGTTTCCTGGACAGAAAATACTGGAGTCCTTTCTAAATAGATCTGAGAAGCCTTTAGTTAATTTAGATAGAGGGTTGCACTTTTAAGTGGTGGACTTCTGTATGTGTATGAGGACATTTTAATGCTTTCTGCCCTATTTCTTTTTTAAAGAGTGTATATATGTGGTTAAGACTACATTTACAGCTTACTTTTAAATATTACGTGTGAATGTGTACGTGACTTATCTTTTTGTTTTAATTTTTAAATTATTTTTTTACTGTATTTATATTCTTGTTAAATATTTATTATTTTTACCTTTTTATTATTCATAATGTAGTCACATGTCACACAATAGATAAGAACACATTGTTATTATTTTGAATTATATTCGCTGTTTGTTCTGATAAGACGTGGCTCGTGTTCACTGATAAAACCATAATGTGAAACGTTGAGGAAATAAAATAATTTTTACTGCATACTATCTGTTTCTCTTTAAGCTAGATCTAGAGCCTTGAGAATACTACAGTCTATGATCTGTTGACATCTGTCGGTTAGAATTATCACACTCATCCTTACAGACAAATATTGTTCTGTAGTGTTTCCACACTGAGTGTGACATTTTTAGGTTGCATTAAGCGAACTTTGATTTGATGACCTCTAGTTTTGTAAGTAATCTAAAATGTTTCCATTCTTTTAACCTTTGTTTTTTCCCAAAAGAGTCATAAAGTTTTTTCTTGTTTACGCTGGTCCTCATATTGAACTTCCATTACTGAATAATGATAAACTGTAACAAACAATTTGATTAACTGAGACTGGTAATTATAAACCAATAAAAACTTTTGTTATTAAATACCAACAAACTTCGATATGATGTGTACATGTACAATTTAACTGTGCTATTTCACACTTTGTTTGCTCATGTTTAAATATGTAGGTCAATACGTTCTTGGTGAGTTTTTCTTTTTTTCTTGTATGTTCATGTTGAGATATAAGTGAGAATACTGATTTGGTGGATGACTGCAGTATGGTAAATTATTTCTATCTCTCATTTTCTCCTGCTTACAATTAGAAGAACAAGATTCATCTTTATTCAACAAGCAAGTACATGACTTTGTGAAGTGAGTTAAGTTGTTCTACATCCGAATTGTGTATATCCATTTCACTGAGATCAGTCTTCATCCGTAAAGGTTAAACTATTGCTGGGAAATGTTTGGCTGGATATGGTAATTTCCATGTTTTACAAGCGCATCATCCGGCATAAGTCTTTCCTTGTTTTCTGTATTTGTGATCTGCATATGCACTGAGACCATAATGATGAATTAGAATGACACAAGCGTATCCAAACAGTCATTATGTAAAACTTCACCAAACAAATAACTTTTTTTTCGTTTTTGATGTAATTCGTTTTATAACATTCGTTGCACATTATTGTATTAATTTTCATGATCATATCTAATGAGAATAGATCAATATGGTTACGATATGTGCATCAGATAAAGAATTTTTCTACTTCCAAGAAGGTCTACCTCATTACATTGCTCTAACTGACACTCTGTAGAACAGAGTGCAGAAGGGTCCCTCTACTTTCTTATGCAGCAATTTTCCTTCATTTTAGTACTGAATTTTAGTGCTTTCATTATGTTACAATGACGCATTGTTGCAAATTCTTTGTTATTTTTGCACACATGTCTGTGATGTAAAATTTTGCATTAACATTAATGCTGTATAATAATTTTAGATGCAGGTAAGGCTATTTTACATATATGCGGCATATTAGGTTAGGCTGGTATATTATGTAGGAAAGGCTTTTTTTACGCATATAGCATCATATGTTAGAATGTTTTTTTTAATTGTATGATAATGTTATGTAATTTTGCCTTTTGTTGTATATTAATCTTATTGTTGCAGGTGAACTAGTAATGCCAAAACATAGGAGTCTAAACAAAATTGGACACGGTAAGTTTAAGGCTGAATCTGGCTGTAATCTTAATATAAACATGCACAAAAGGGATTGTCGTTATATTGTGAGATTAGATGGGTATTTGACATGTGGCTAACAAATTCTGTACATAAACTTGTATAACATTTATGATTTATGTAAAATAACTCCTTTGTCAAACCACCTAAGATACCCATTGTACCTAAACTTCCCTTAATCACCTGCTTACCATAGCTCGGGAAACAGAGATCCCTTATCACGAAACAGTTGAAAAGGTTATTTAACACCTACTTATCCCCAAATTGACCTGAAAGTTATTATGAAACCCAATTTTAGACTAAAAAATTTTTTTCCATTACAAAGATCGTTTGCCGACTGTCCATTGTTCACATCTCGTCTACTTGTACACGTGCGGAGACTGTAAGGCCTCCTATATTGGTGAAACCAAACATCACCTTAAAGTACGAGCATGTGAACACATGGGCATATCTATTAAAACTGGAAGAAAGGTTACAAACCCAATCAACTAGGCTATTTATCAACACAATACAGAAACAGGACATCCTATTTCTCTCTCCAACTTTAAAATTCTTTCAACAGCCAAACATAATACTGAACTTCATATAAAAGAAACATTGTACATAAAAACTCTCCTTTTGTCCCTAAATAATATACAGTCTTCATTTGAGTTGAACTAATTTTAACTATTTCACTTGTGCTTCAATATTAATTTTATTGTGTTATATTTGTACATTCAGATTGTTTATTTCTTATGTATATATTTCTGTTGTAATTACAAATATTGTTTGTTTGTTTTGTACCTCTAGATTACTGATGATGGAATTATGACAATTTCTAAACATTTAATAAATGCTTCCTGTTATTATGTTTGTGTTTTGTTTCATTATTAAATTTAGTTTTTTTTTTTTAATTTTTATAAAGAATTTTAGTAAACAATGTTGGAGTGTAATTTACACAATGAATATAAAGTTGGAAATTATTCTGTTTGGTGGTATAGCTATGTATTATTGCCCCTTTAAAGGAGTATTGACTATACCTTTGTAAAGTTATATTCTAGATTATTTCTGATCATTATGATAAGTATCACACAAGGACAGGCTCTTTTTTGATTCATGAAAGATTAATCTCAAAAGTGTTTTTTTTTGTCAGATTTTGTTCATAGACTTTAGGGTTTATCTGTGCATTAAAATTATAATATATGTGTATTCATTATTAAAGAATTATTGTTCCAAATGTGTTCAAGACTAAATATTTTTTAAAGAAATATTTTTGTTTCCAATTTCAACTACTTCACTGGTTAAAACATTACCAACTGTCCATTTGAAACTTTCTTGTCATGACACATGTTTGTAGTTATTTTAATGTGTTTTTTTCTCTGTCTTATTGAAGCTAACAAATTAATAAATTGGCATCAAAGGACTACTGTTAAAAAAAACATTTTCAATCAATTTTACTATTTTTATCTCTATTAATAAGATTCGTGACTTTATTGTATGCTGATTTCCAGTTATTTTTCAGTAGGTAAATGTCATTGAATGTTTTTATATCATGTTTTTATCTAAGTGTTAATTAAAATAAATATTGTTGTAACAATAGCTAAGAGTTGATCTGCCTTGTCAAACTAACATTTCATTGTAACACTAGTAACAGAAATTATTTTTCATTTCACATTAGTCAACTTATTTTGTTTTTCTACACACATTATTAGTATATCTCAGTGTAGATTTGTTTTCTATTCAAGGTATTTGTACATAACTGGTCATGAAAGGGGTGAGATGTTAATTTGATTTTGACAATTTAAGTAAAAGTTCTTAATGATAACAAAAGCTTAATTTTTAAAACTGTTAACTTTCCAGCTCTTCATTGGTTGTGTCCAGCATTCAAGAAAGTTACTTTTAGCCAAAAAGTCAAGGTAACTAATATTGTTTTTATTGTTTCTTGTTTTTAATTTTATCTTATGAACAGTTTTCTATAAATTTCTTTAAAGAGAGACAAGTTCGTATTTCTATGTATTGAAAATTGTATATTTGACAGGATCTGATTTCTAGTCTTGGATATGAGGATCCAGCTGTTGTACAAAGCCTGTACATCTTTAAGGTAAGCTGACCAAACGGTAGAATAAACATGTAGTTTTTTTATCTTGTTATATCCTCTCTGATTTTAAAACAGTAGTTAAATAAAGTATGTCACTTGTTTTTACTGATTGGTTTGTAACTTTTTTCTAATGATCTCATAGCCTTCAGTGCTGAATGTCTTCATGATTCTGTAGACATTCAGGTGCTATTTTGTATTTCTGAATTGTTTTCATATATATTGCCATCTTTTCTGACTTTTACTCAGTTTATATTAAGTGCTTAGAAATGGAACATATTTTGAATAATTCAATCAAATCTCTGATAAGAGTTTTTTAAATCCCTCACCTAAAGTCAGAATAGTTAAATAAATTGTAATTATTTTCATCTTATTTTGGAAGAAAATTTAAGGACAGTATTTTAAAGATTGTTGGGTTTAAAAGCTGTGTAACTGTTTACCATTTCTAGGTATAGTTCATATGTATGGGAACAATCAGTTAATAATAGTATTTTGTTGTTGGTTAAACAAATTTAGAACCATAGAGCATTTTCAACAAAGTGAACAGTTAATTTTATTTGAAATTGGTAACTTCTGACTATTTATAGAACACTATATCAATATTTTTTTCATCAGCCATTGGTGTCAGAAACAACACTTAAGCACTTCAAAAAACAAAGATTGTCCACAAAATGTGTATGATAAGTTTAAATAATTCTAACTTACATTTAAAGAATGTAGTTTAGTTTACAAACTCATTCTGTGTGTAACGTGTAAGTCATGAAATTTTAAATATTTATACAAAAATTATACTATATTAAGTTACATGTAACTAGTTCATTTATGAAATATCTGCACAATAATTCATTACAGACTTCCATGGGAATTTGTTAGTAGAATTGAAGGATTGTTTAGTTTGAGTCAGTCACCGTGTGATGAACTAGAACTTTTGATGATTTACAATATACAATTAGTTCATTTTTAGATAGGCCCGGCATGGCCAGGTGGTTAGGGCGCTCGACTCGCAATCTGTGGGTCGCAAGTTCGATTCCCCGTCACACCAAACATGCTCACCCTTTCAGCCGTGTGGGTGTTATAATGTGACAGTCAATCCCACTATTCGTTGGTAAAAGAGTAGCCCAAGTGTTGGCGGTGGGTAGGGATGACTAGCTGCCTTCCATCTTGTCTTACACTGCTAAATTAGGGACGGCTAGTGCAGATAGCCCTCGTGTAGCTTTGCGCGAAATCCATAACAAACAAACAAACATTTTTAGATGTTTGTGAAAAGTACACAGTTTCATGAACGATGTAATTCCTTGTGTATTCTGCTCTTTTAAATATTATGTGAACAATTTAAGTTGGTCAAATTTATTTAAGGGTTTTTTAAAGAAAAAAAATTATACTTTTAAAACTGTTAACAGTGTTTTTTATGATTTTCAGCATCCGGAAGTGGGTGGTATGGGTAAGTTATCTAATCAAACTTTAAACATTTTGGGGGAAAAAAAAGTTATGAAAATGTATTATTTCAATATTGGTGGAGGATATCATATTTGTAAACAACTATACACAAACTTTTTCAATTCCCCCCACCCATTGATTGAGCAGTAAGTCTGAGGTCTGATGAAGCTAAGAATAGTTTAATTCATGTGGTGAACGTGGAACAGGTAGCCCATTGATGTAACTTTGTGCTTGTTAACAAACAGGCTTTTCAATTCAGTCAGTTTAAGTGTTGTATTTTTTAGATATTAAAACAAAGTTAACCCTAAGATATTAAATACCATATCTATATAACATATTTTTAACTGTGTTACTTTGCACCTTCAACAAAAGATGCTTTGTAAATTTCCAAAGCTAGAAAAGTAGTATTTGTTTTACAAGATTTTCTCCTTTAAGTATGTGAACTTGTGTGTGTGTGTGTTAGTATTTCTGTGAATGAATTATTTTAACGGCATACCCTTGTATTTTTAAAAAAGAAAACTTGTGTTTGAAAGGTGCTGAAAGCCAATAAATTAGTTATTTCAATCTTGATAAAAGAGTTAGCACAAAGGATCACATATAAAGTGTAATAAACTTAAAATAAGACCCAAAACTCGAGCGCTTTTGAATAGTTGACTATTCATCTTCAGGAGAAGAAGAAGAAGAATAGTGAACTATTCG